GGGGAGATACGTAGGCAACCCACATAGGGTCCGGTCCTTCCTCATTTTCCTAGTGAGTCTCAAAGTCTTAGTTTCGAGGGTCGTAGCCAAGTCTTGCATGTCTAGCCACTTTTGGCCACATCGGTCATTTTTGAAAATATGATCATTTTTTGCAAAAGTGTCTTATTGACCCATGTCTGGGAGTCCTAAGTCCTCTCATCTTAAGGTCCATTCCTACTGAATTTGCATGTCTAGCCACCTTGGCCACATCAGTCATCTTTGTAAATATTGTCATTTTTGCAAAGTGTCTTATTGACCCATGTCTTAGAATCTTAAGTTCACAACAAGGTATCATCTCATATTAAGGTCTATTCCCGCTGAATTTGGGTGTCTAGCCACTCCTGGCCATATCAGTCATTTTTGCAAAGTGAGGTCATTTTTGCAAAGTAATTTTGGAGACCTGATTCCTAAGAGGTTGGAGGCCACATAGGCCTTCGTGAGGTGTTTTCCATGTCTTATAGGTCAGCCTAATTGAGTTTGCACTTCTAGTCACCTTCGGTCTCATGAGCCATTTTGCAACAATAGCCTCAGTAATGTCTTGCGTGTATCCGATAGGAAAAAAATGTCACATAGTGTCTTGAGTCGCTAATTCTATTTGGCCTTATTCCTTTCAACAAGTATGGATCCACTTGCCAGGGCTAGAGTGTCAATGGTGGTCAAAATCCCTAGGAGGCTAGTAAAGTGGTGGAATATATTCACATTACTCGAGCAACATGAACTGATGGATAAATTAGGACTCTTATTTATTTGATTGACATTACTTCGCGTCCCGACCTGGTAGAGGTAGTGTTGACGTTTTGGGACCCACAGGGCATGGTATTTAAGTTTGGGGATCTTGAGATGACATCCACTTTAGCTAAGATAGCCGGGTTGACTCGCTTACAATATTTAGACAAGGAATTGATTTACACAAGGGCTCATTTAAGCATAAGGTTCCTTAAGATCATAGGGAGGACTTAGATAGTCATATGGGATGTTTGGATCAATCTTGAGTGCCTTTGGACTTTTGTTTGAGAGGTTTGCTCCTCCTACTGGGTATAAGACCTTCATAGATAATGTTTGCATATCATATGATTCTTGCAAGAAGAGGTGTCTCATGGTCTTCACTATTATATTGTTGG